TCCTCCCTGCACCATGACATCTCAACAGTTCATTTTGCAGGTGTTGCAGCTCTCTTGCTCAAGTCCATAGCACTGCTGACTTCCACTCTTGCTGCTCTGTCTTCCTTTACAGAAGCAAACACAATTACCCAGAGAAGAGGATAATGCACTGACTTCCCACTAAATCATGCACTTCTATTAGCACATGTAATCAGCACTTCCATCAGAGCAAGTCTGAGTGCTCGTTGCCTGTAGCAGAACAAGCTATTCAGCAATGCAGATGGGTAGCAATGTAAATGAAGAGCATTACCTAGGCTACATTCATGCTTTGCCAAGCTACAAAGTGCATGCAAAGTGCTAACTTAGAGCCTAGAAGGCACCACTGCATGCCTCTGACCAGATGAATTACAGTGCTGCAATGACTATATGCAACCACTCCGTCGCATGGCATTGACTCATTGGGCAGCAGATAAGTGCAGATAAGATGCTAACAGTGTGCACACCATATGTATTTATCCCCTGCTACATCACTCACACAGTGTGCACACGTGGTGAATGGGAAGGACTACATGCACCCAGTGAATTGCATATCCCACACCCAACTCTGGCCCTTACATTCATTTAGCATTACATTCAACTTAGCATTTGAATCAACAGAACCACTGTCTTTATTTGCTACAAACTGGAGAGAAAAAGAAATCAGAAATATCTGCTACATAAAGTAATTTGTGAACACACAGATGAACCTAGTTTAATGAATTTTACTTAGTTCATAAGATGAAAAGGATCTTAGTGTTCCAAACAGTTTAAGGACATCAAAACTATTCCTGTTTCTCAAAGTAGCTACTGCATAGCCAGATGTTACCACTTGCTAAGAATAAATAATAAAGCTACTAACTGGAAGCAGACATTAGCTTGATTTCAGAGACAAGTGATTAAAACCCTGAGGGGAAACCAGTCACAACAACAGCTGTGCTGTCACCTGCCCTGAGCAATACCTGCAGTGGACATCACTCAGCCTTTCCACCTTGACTGGAAGCTGAGTGAGCAGCTGGTGGAACATGGGGCTCTTCTAGCCATTCTCCAGTCTGGGGAAACTGGCTGAAAACATGCAGAAGCCTTTTTTCTTAATGACATTTTTATGCAAAATAAGCAGGCTTGATAAATGCACCTCAGGGGCCTTGCTTTTAGTAAGCTAGTTCAGGTTGTGCACAGTGGTTGGTACAGGCTAGATACTGTATTTGTAGAATGACCACCCTGTCTATCCAGAGAACTGAAGATTTTTCCTTTTAGCAGTACATTGGAAGCAAGCTATCAAAACATTTAAGCTCCTACTAATCAGTACATCTTGGTTACAAGGACTTCCTTTTTGCTGGAAAGTAGTTACACACTACCATGAAGTCCAAATGCAGAGATTATGAGCATACTACTAGCCAGCAACCCCACTCATTTTGCCAGTGGTGACGTATGAAAAATCTCATAAATGAACAACATCCCTCCCTGATACTTTCAGTTCCACCATCTCAAGGATGTGTTTGCTAATTGTACAAATATTCTCCTAAAGAATGGGAATGATTTAATAAGAGTGAGTAACGGAGCAGTTATAAAAACATTTCAAAACTGACACTATGGCAAAGAGCCACGTTACAGCCCTGCATATCCAATGGCCAGGCCAGCCAATAGTAGCTCTCTTCTGCAACCTTTCCACTTCCAGCCTATCAGAAAAAGATATTATCTTTCTTCCTGAAAGGCCTTGGAATTGTCTAAATGGTACTAAAATAAGGACTGAGTGTAACCTGAGGCAGGATCAATTTGCCACACTTGGAACTTTTCTCAGTTCATCGTGATACTCCTGCCAGATGGAGAGATAAGCAGTTTAACAGGGCAAGGCTGCTGTTTCTGGCTTATTTGTAGACCCTAAGAGATACCAAGATTAAGAAATACTGTCTGCTAAATGAAGCAGGAAACCTGAATAACTTCCGGCTTACTTCCCAAGGCCTGTTTGCCAAATATCAAATGAATTTATCCCCAGCACTGATGTGCTTAGCTCCAGCTGGATATGCCATTTATTTCTTCCAAAGACAGGAAGCCTGCAAGCATTTCCACCTCTGTATAGCTTTACTAAGTTCTATTGGATTTAAACCAAGCTTGTCTGGTGTCTCTTTTGTTTCCTCCACAGTCTGGGTCACCAATCTAAGCACTTTTCAGTACATCGCACTTGCCTGCAGAAATCTGACCTCTGTGTAAAGTGCTTTAACACTGCTGATGGACACTGCTAATGGAAGGGGTTTTATAAAAGGAGATATTAAGTAATATAGTTTCACTTAAAAGCCTCCATGAGGCAGACATTATGGACATGAAAGGACTATGCATATGTGTGAAGAGTTCCTTCTCATACAGTGCACAGTGTCTTTTTAATTCACTGCTTCATATCAAACCCAGTACCTCAAGCACCAGGAGTCTCTTCCCATTGGCTGTAACTCACACTTCCAAACCATCTCCCCTCCTCTCTCACCTAACGTTCTGCCACTCCATAAAGCTCAACCTTTGTGCACATCCACCCTGCACCTGCTTACCCTGTTTCTTGGAACTCATTAAAGGTTATGAGTTATGCCCTCTGAGTGAACCTCAGTGAATTTTACCTCTGTGAACGATGGAGATACTTTCCATCCATGCCACCTTCAGATGACTGCAGGAACTCACTTGACAAACTTAACTGGCGTGGGATCACCTTTTAGTACCTAGTAATTTTCACATGAGGAGAAGTTGCACAGACAACACAGAACATATAATCTTGTTCTTCACAAAAACAAACTGGTCCAGAAATTTTACTTTACATAAGAAAAACAGTTTGCATGTTACATTATTGAGTAACAACACAATCTTTGCAATAGGCTAACCAAACCTTGAAAAGTTCAATGATCAAGTCTTTGCTAAAAGCAACAAATTTCTTACCTGTAACAGAAACTGAAAAATGACAGATCTACTATTTCAGAGGTTTTTGTTTCTCCAGTTTTTATGACAACATTTACTATTATTTTCCTGTGGTCTTAAGGAAATTTTGTGAGATCTCGGTTAGAAAAAACTCACCATCAGTTCAATTGAGCAGATTAGAAATAGTCTTTAAAAGTACCAGGGTCAGTAATTAGCTGTTGGAACAGCTTCCTAAGGATAATAATGGCTATGTCCTTTGCTGAAAACTTCCAACTATAGTTGCTGCAGTATGTTACGTAATATGAATTTTATTTATGGAATTTCTGTCGTTGTTTCTGAGTTAATTACAACAGATTTTCTGAATTTATTTCTATCCAGACTGGGATAGAAATCTCTTGAGTTTTATCACTACCTTTCAAGGGCCAGTAGAGCTATATTAATTTATCGTCTATGTTGAAAGCTCTTACAAACTGACTTTAAAGAAACTTTCGCTTTTCATCTTTGCAGGATGAGGTCACTGCATGAATATACAAACTCCGTATTTTAAAAGGAAGAAAACAATGCTTCACACAAAACATTCATTCTGAATTTTTTCAAATAATTTTATTAAATGATCATGTTTTACATGTCATCAGACCTAACCCCTGAAGTGCAAAAATGTTTCTGAGGTATTAAGACTGGAGGAAAACAGGCACAGTATTGGTTGTTAGGGACACCACATTACAGCACAGTGGACTTTGTGAACACCAGGCTTTTATACAGCATTTGTAGGATCACAGAAAACTAGAGCCTGTACATCTTCAGACTTGAGAGCCAAGAAGCCCTGATTGTTATCCAGTTGTGTTACATCGATGAAAACACAGACTTTGTTGAAATAGGATGAGGACAAATATTAAAGAGGTGTTTCTCTAGGCCAGTATGTACAGTACATGAAAAAAATTAAATTCCAAAGTAACTGATGAATCTGTGACCAAAATCCCAACTGTCTATCCAGTCCAGCTTATTATATATCATGACTACTGTGGCCTCTCTTGTATACCAGAATTTTGCCTATTCTACATAGCTACACCACTGCCCTGTGCTCCTATTTGAAGGCATCTGGTCACTCTCAACTTCATTTAAATTTGTTGTTTATCAGATTAACTAGAGTCAACAGCATGGTACTGCCTGTGGCCTGTTATTCTTCTAGTTGCCCTCTTCCCTTCATCCATGCAGTGAAGAAGTCTAATCCATGGGGAGAATCTGCTACAGAAATAAGCATTGATCTACTATTCATTTATTTGCTTGTCTCTTCAGGGAAGCAGGGGGTAAAGGAATACTTTCTCCCCTTAGAGCATTTCCCAAGGTTAGAATTTGACTGAAAGTTGTAGATGTGGTGAATCTGTGCATAATTAACTTTCTGCAGAATATTAGTTAGATTTAAAACTCACTCATATTCTCACTCAATGATTTTGTTGGGAAAAAAAGATTTCAACCTCAAAACTCGCAGCGTTTTTCCTGGTACCTACAGCAATTTTGCCCTAAGCCATCTGACTCAAAGATATCCAGCCAAATTCTGTTCTGCATTACTTTATGTGCTATCACCACAATCCAATGGAAGACATATCTTAAGAAAACATTCTCAAATGAATAATTAGGAAAAGTCATTAATTACTCTAAGAGTATGTTTCTTTTTAGCCAAGATAGATGACAACAATTCCCTCCTGAGTCACAATTGGTTTTTCAAATTTGTGACGAAACATGAAAAAATATAAGTGGTCTTCACATTAGCAGACATTTATGAATGTAGGAATGTTTCTGAATGTGTCAGGTTTTGCATAGCACATTTTGATAGGTTCTCACCTTAAGCATCTTCAGCTTTACGACCTGTTTGGGAAGCTGGAGACACGAGCTCTATTGTCAGCACACCCATGGGCATTATGTCATATATAGTCTGATCACAAACACAACTGAGATTCTCAGTTTCCTAGGATTGTCACCAATATCACTGCTACTTCCCTACACACAACAACGTCTAACATGTCTACAAATAAAGAATAGCTGGAATAGAAGCTGGATACAGATGGAATGTTGCCTTTTTCTTTTTCTTTTTTTTTTTTTTCTTTTTTTAGTGGAAGCATATTTCATGGATAAGAAAGGCAACTGCAAACAAAAAGTGCAAGTAAATCACTTTCAGTTAAAAACTGGATTTCGGATGCCGCTCAAGACCGAGTTGTTGGGCCAATTTCTGTGCAGAAGAGTTAGGGAACACACAAAAAAGAAAACGCTTGTGATTCCAAGGATGACCACACCTGAAATCAGAGCACTGGTGACTGAATTCAGCTGGAAAGGAGGTCCATCTTGAGCTGCAAGAACAAAAATGCACAGGTAATCTCTGGTTAGAAATCCTCAGCAGTGCCAAACACTTCTGTCTTTATTTTAAATAGAGAATAATTACAGTGAGAGACTAAAATTGTACTTCAGAATGAGTACCTGTCTACTTGGATAAAATTTATCTAAGTGCACTTAGAAAATAGTTGTTCTTTCACTATCAATAACTATGGGGACATAAAACAATAAGTATACTTCTAACACACAATCTCTCACATTGGTGACCAACCTTGACCTTTTTTATATTTAGGAGAAGACTGCCACCGCCCAAGAGCTATCAAGGCAGAGGTCTAAGGATTGCTGTTTCCATGCCAGGAGGGAAAGGCAGCTGTTTCTATGGGGTCCAAACCAAAAGAGAAGGGAACAGATAGATAGTACAGTTCTGAGGAAAGCATCAGTTGCTTCTGCCACTGGGTCCTGTTACGAGCAAGTAAGAAGCAGGATGGCTTAACAGACCATCCTTTCTTTACTAATCATTAGCAACTCCTCATTACCACTGAATAACATACAAGCTGAAAAATGCCCTCCAAGTGTCCATAGGAGAAGCACTATAAAACTTAAAGCCCAGATCTTCCTGCAGCCTATTTCCTCCCTCACTCTACCACTGACCACTAGCTCTAGCCAAAGTTCTTCATGTGCTCTTCATGTGGTTAAATGCCAGAACAAGAACTAAGGCAGGACTCACCTGAGTTTGAGCTCAGAACTGAACTGCACCTTAACAACCATTTTGCTGCACCGCTCCCATATGGCATAAGCAGATTTTACTGCTTAAGTCTGATTTTGCTTCTGGCAGTTGCAATGCTTCTTCACCCTCATATGTCATAGCAACAGATTTTCACTTCAACTCCACTACAGGAACTAGAAGTTGCTTTGTTGGTGGGGTTGGATATACAAATTAAACCGAGCAATCCAAATTCACCAAATGTTTTCTTTATGGCAGGATGTCAGTATTTACTTATTTAAAAGACAAAAGCCAAAAAGAAGAAAAAACAAACAAAACATTCTAGCTCAGTGCCTCAAACTGAATCAAAAGGGTTCATTCTCCTCAGTTCTGTTTCAATCATAAACCATCTCTTTTGTGTTTCTTGGAATTTTGATTAACTTACCAAGCTGTGAGTTGTTGGTTGGTGTCTCATCTGCATTAAAAAAAAAAAAAAAAAATGAAAACGAGATGCATTATATTTTATAAACACCTGGTACCTGTCCCCCTCCCCTCTTTGCATACAAAGGCTAGCAGACAGCTTTATTTTCAAAACACATCAACTATATTTGCAACATTGACTGGCTGGTTTTAGTATCTCTGGTAAAATCAGTATGATAACATTAATTACATGAAGTTTCTTCATTTTTTAGGCAAATACAACAACACAGTTACTTAGTATTCTGAGGGAGAAAAAAGAAAGCATACAAACAAGAAAAAACACCTTAGTGAAGGATCTATTTAGCTGAAAAGCGTCCCAGTTCTATTCTGATCCTTTTAACAAAAATACAATGACAGCCATGATATTATACACAAGTTCCTTCTATTATAAACACACTACAAGATGATCTGTATAGAAAAAAATGTTTTAACCTGAGTTATTTTAAGGAAAACTAAAGCAATGACCTTAAGTGATAACACTATTTCTCATTGGCTCCTACATTCTGTACTCAGGGAAACATTTATATTCCATCTACTCTTTTTTTTTTTTTTTTTTCCCAAACATACCACTGTCCATCTCAAAGCTACACTTTTTTGTCATTACTTTTGCTTTTTCATGCAACTTGTAATCACAGCTTATGTATACATCTATTTTGAGCAGCTATCTTCTATGGTTAAGTGAGACAACCATCAAAAGCTGTACAATCCTTCGCAGATAGGTGCTTACTTTGACTCTGAATACAGAGACCAAAACATTTTCTGTTCTGTATTTCTCTTGCAGTGACTTATTTTAGTTTAACAAACATGAATGAAGTTTCTCCGAAAAGAATGCAATGTTAGAAATAAGAGTTCAGAAATACACAGGAGAAGGACCATTATTCATTTGCAGCAGCGCTATTCAGTTCCTACTAAGGTAATTACATAAATAGTGCTGTTACCAGAACAACTGATGAATAGAGTAATGGGAAGGCTTGGCTAACTACGTGAGGTGCTTCTGGTGAGACACTGACATGCACAGGATCAGTCTCAGCATAGATGCAGCGCCAACTCAAACGTGGAAGGCACATCTGCAGCCATATGACAAACATATGTATTATGCTCAGCCAGGTGCAGCAGGTTTTATGGGTTCTCTACTAAAATTTGAGCAGATCTGTTCTTGAAAATAGTATTAAGCCTCTTCATGTAGCATTGTGTCAAAGACAGTACTGCCACCCATGGGATTCCTCATCCACAAAGCAGTCAGTTCTGTTCAGATTGAAGTTTTCTCATGACCTCCCCCTTTTTTTTCTTTGACCGCAGTATTCACGAATCTCACATCACCACTGCACTTATCACTTATTTTCACAACAGGAAAAGACAGTGATAGAAAACAGTAATTCCCTCGTTTTGCTCCAGAAGAAAAAGCTTAAGCCAACTTAAACTATTGGCTTGAGCAATAGCACTCGGGAAATTGGTGGCACATTTCAGAACTGAATCACTGCTTTTTAAAGTACATTCCATCAAAGCATGCCTCTGACAGTGGGAGTGGCATGGTCCAAAAGCATGCTGTATGAAGAAATCTGTCTAATCTAAAAAAGCCTTAGTCACATATCTCAATTAAAAGACACCGAAAAAAATACTACTTCCCTTATCATAGAATCATTTTTGAGTCAGAAGAGACTCTTAAATGTCACCTAGTCCTCTTCCCACGCAATGAGCAGGGACACCTACAGCTAGATCAGGTTGCTCAGAGCCCCATCCAGCCTGACCTTCAATGTCTATAAGAATGGCGCATCCATCACATCTCTGGGCAACCTGTTCCAGTGCCTCAACTCTCTTATACTAGTTTAAGTCTCCCCTCTTTTAGTTTGAAACCATTTCCCCCTTGTCCTGTCACAGCAGACCCTGCTAAAGTCTGACTCTTTCTTTTTTACATCCTCCCTGTAGATACTGAAAGGCTGCTATCAGGTCTCCCTAGAGCCTTCTCTTCTCAAGGCTGAGCAGCTCCAGCTCTCTCAGTCTTATTAGTGTTTTCATTAAAAAAAAAAAAAAAATCAAGAACGGTCAACAAATCATATATATTAATTTATCATAGCTTTGGGATCATTAAAGATCTTGATTTGCTTGAAGTAATGCATTATTTAAAGCTAATAGATGAATATCTTTTATTATTATTATTATTTAAAAAAATGCATTCACAGCATTTGAATCAAACTTTACTCTTTAATAGGGACTGCTCACATGCCAAGCTTTATATAGTTCTCGTTCCTTGCCTAAGGCAGTGTTTCTCTAGCATGTGTTTAAGCAAATCTGTCATTTATTTTCAAAAAGCATTCATTTTTTCACTTTTTATTGACTAATCAGATGACAGTAAGGGTACTCAATTGGGACCATTCATAATACAGAAGAAAATACTGTTTTTCCTTAAGTAGAAATGTTGCTTGTAACTGAGGGTATTTGATTCTAAAAAATAGTCTCTTTGTAGATGGTTCCAAATTATGGAGGGTCAGTCGCTCTCCTTGTACATGCAGGCACAACCCCACTTTGCATGTAAAGAAGGATTTTATGCTTAATTATCTTTCCTAGACAAGACTCAGTCCTATTCTCAGATTCCTAAATCTAAGGCTGCTGAAATCCGCAAACCGAATTTCTTCAACAGTTTTAAAATGTTTTATTTTTATTATGTTGTCTACAGCAGTCACAGAAATACTTTTCAGAGACTGCAGGTTGGTTTAAAACAAAAACAAACAACCAGCCAAAAAAAAAAATCCACGTTTTGACAATAAAAATGGACCTCCTTAGAGTTCTACTCAGGATCTGAAAGCTGAAGGTTAATAGCATGTATTAACATAAATAGTAACCCGCAGGTGAAGGGAAAGAAATGGCGAATAGAAAATGACAGTGAGTATTTATTAGCAGTCCAAATTAACTTGTGATGCTGAACACAAGTTAAATTCCATTAACTTCAGTGAAATCTTCAAAAAAAAAAAAAAAAAATCACTGAGTTTGGGTTTTTATAATGAAGTTACATGCATAACAGTATGCCACAGTGATTTTCAGGGGGTAAAGAAGAAGCACAAGTGCTAAGCAGAAATACTAGCTCATATTTTCTACCAAAGATTCCAGTAGTTGAGGAAAGATTACCCAAACTCATGGAGAATCCATACTTTTTCTAAGTCATTGCAAATTTCTGTTAAACTGTTAAAACATATCCCCAGGTTTTTGAAATTTCTGCCGTGCATAGAAAAAGTTTGCTCGTTCCTACCACTCCTCGTAATGATGGGGCCAGCAGTGATCACAGCGTTGCCAGAGGTGCTCTGAGGCCTCCAAGTTGTTCTGCCACCAGCATCTCTTCTTTCTCTGTGACTGCAAATCTGAGTGGTTAATCAAAACAATCACTGTTTCAGACTGGAATGGAATTATTGCCCTTCTGTGCTTCTGTTTTAATGGAAGCTCTTTTACAAGCAATACTACAACTTTTATTTCTTAGTATGCATTAAATTACTTTGCAATAAAAACAACTGCAATATTCTGTAGAAGAGTATCTTGTAAATGCCTAGCTTCCCGTTGTAGTTTGCTTTACTTCATTTATGGAACTACATTGCTGTTGTGTACAAAATTCATCTTACAGTTTATTAAAATTTCAGTAGTTAATTTCCCAGTGCTTTGTTTACAGTCAGTTTTTGCAATAAATGTGTTTTGCTTGACTAGGGATAGACAACATGCTACAGTTCCTGTTCTAGCAGATTTCTTAAGTTAAACTTCATATTTTTCCATGGACTCCTAAATAGCAATGACACATTAAAACAATTCCCAGCGTTCTACCATCTGGAATCCATTTTTAATTAGCATCTCTCTTATCTATCTTAATCTTGGTTACCCAATAATGCTTCAAACAAGATCATTTCTTGGATTTCAACTGCATGTGAAAGAACTTCAAAACCCATACAACATGCACCCCCACAGAAACAAAGAATTGCATTTAAATTAATTTAAGTAATAAAATAATGCACAAAATGTCAGAATTGAGGGTATTTTAAAATTTTGAATGGAAAGTCATTCAGCAGGAAATGATACTGTATTTTGAAGATGTCAGCACAGAATATTTTGTGTTCAATATACATACTGAAGTGTTTCAGTTTCCAAAATATATTTGTTGTTTGCAATGCCCCCAAAAGGAAATAATGTTTGAATTGAATTGAATGTTTGAACGTCAACACCACAGCAGTTTTGTAACTACAAGGAAGATGATAATAAAGAAGAGGAGAGGCATTATTTTTTCCCCACTATCAGGAATACTTTCAAATATCCCTCATCAGAGTAAGTGTGCTTACCATTACTATAAGTTTTATATCAATTATATTATAAAATATTTATATTAATCTGCAGTGATTACAGATACTTTGTTTCTTAGATGCTATACTAAGACTCTCAAGATGTCTCAGTCATGACTTTTAGTAATCAGCTAAGGATCAAAAGACATGAAGATGACTGATTGCATGTTCAACAACCTGTGCAACCTGCACATCTATTATGGATGACCACATTCATTACCATATTCACCATAAGTTGTTTTACATTCCTTCAGATGCACAAAGCTCATCTTATTTTGGCTATACAAGTCACCTTCATTCTGTGCATTCCAAGCACCTGTTACTTTTGGACACAGAATAATTCCAGTGCGACTATCTTACATTCAGAGAATTAGCATCAATTTCTATCAATTGAAACTTACTGGCACAAGAAAGGGACAATCATCTGCTCTGCACAGCTTTGTCACACAGTGGAGGAAGACCGTAGACATCTTCTGGTTCTTGTGCTTCACAAAGCGGAATACCTCAAATGAAAACCGTCCCATTTGGCTCTTGCCATTTTCAATGATAGTTGTCTGAGGATCCTTGTCACAGCTAGTTTTTGTAAAGATTAGATGATTAGATAGATGGCTGGCTTTTTAAAGCTATTAGGTGAGAATAAGACAATTTAGGCAGTCAAATTAGTGATTTGGATCACTGTAAAGAATATAGTGCCACGATGTCCAACACGTGCAGCCACAGTCACCCAACAGGCTGCAAAATCCTGTGCTCATTGCTACAGAAAGATTGTGCTTTGTTTTGTTTTGCAACATCACAGTTGCAAACCAAGGAACCATTTAATTCCAGTGACATAAAAAAAAACCTAAAGGCAGAAGCAATAAGTTACCAGTTATGCTAACTGGTATAGACAGGTAATTCCAAATGAAGACAATATTCCAGCAGCCTTCATTGGTGAGATTTAATCTGGGATACTGCCAAGATACTATTTACGTTTTTCAAAGTTCCAATTCAAGTAAATATTATTGTTGAGAGTAGCAGGAACATCTATTTAACTTTAATCATTTCCTTTACTCTTTTCCTAAATACCAATCTACAATATTTTATACCTTTGTCATTCACTGCAAGAGTATCTCTGGTAAAACCAAAGGCCAGCTTGGATACTTAGGTTGCGTGTTTCTGTTGTCTCTAGTAGAGACATTTTAGATGTACACTCCTCCACCATGATTCTCATTACTCTGAAATTGATTCTATGTTTATGTTGAAAAAAAGCTGAGTCTTGACATGTTACCTGTAAGTCCAGCCCTTGGCCTCTCTACTAATATTTCTTAGAGTTTTCAAGCAGCCTAGAAACCACTATCTGAGAAATTTATAACTGCGTTTTTTAAAAGAAGGACCTACAATTACTGAGTTGCACAGGACTTACCTGAAGAAAAGATCATATCGAAGATCATCACTCGGATTACCAGATGGTGTAGTGTAACAGTAGTCCATCAAAACATTCCACCTGTACAGAAGCAGAGTGATAGATGATGATGGGAACTGGCAGTATAAGAGCAGGAATAGATAGTGAGGGAAAACTTTCATTATGAGGACAACAGCAAGATATGCATTCAGTATCAAGGATTTTATATCCTTCAGTTGAAGGCAATGATTGTCAAACACTAACCACCCTTTTAATGCACAAAAGGTTACAAAGACAGACGCTTCTAAATCGGAATAACTTAAAAACCCAAGAGCTGAATAGGCAACAGAACAAGAAATAACATCCTTTATGGTACCTGCCATCAAGGTTGGTTGCTCTCACAGCTGCATATATTTTGGTTTTCAAAGGTAAACCTGTACTTGGGATGAGGAGCTGCTGGCTGTAGGTTGAGTCCTGAAAAATAAACATTGACTCAATATACCAGAAATCCCACTGTGACAAATCATTTGCATTCACAAAACAAACTCTCATCTAATTTTTCCAACTTGTGTAAGAGCACATAAGACAGTAATAGACTTTCTGTCTCTTTATGTCCCATTTCTGGGAGGAAGTAGAAAGCAGTGCCAGCGTTGTATTGTAGGCATGTGCAGTTTGTCTAGGCAGTTTGTTAGTGAAGACCAACACTTCATATGTCTTATTCCATGCAGCTATTGGGGAGTATCTATTTATTTATCATTAAATGAAGTGCCTGGATCAGTGACTGAAGAAAAGGTACTATTCATGAACAAGATTACTGCAAATTAACACCTCAATATGTCTCCCAGTGCCCACATGCAGTCAAGTGGCTGCTCTGGTTTTCTAAAGGAAGAGTATAATTATATTGTCAGAGAGCATTCTTTGTCTGGGAAGGTTCTCAGGTTTTAAGTAGCAAAAGTTTTCTTTTAAATTCCAATATTTCAATAATTCTGTTTCAAGAAACAAAACAGCTAAAAATTCACCATATATAACAATGACTATACATAGACATAGCTGCTTTGCTAGTTTCTTGTTCACAGGCTGAATCATTAACTTCTCTTTAGCAATGACCCACAGATGCCATGAAACAAATTTAGAATGACAGATGTTAATTTAGCATATCAAAATGCACTTACTGTTAATGTCACCTATGTCAAATAAGGTTGCTAATCCATAAAGAACAGAAACTCAGCATGTTAATACCTCTTGTGAGAGGTCAAAGCACTCAAGTAGAATTTTGGAATTGCTACAATAGAACCAGTGTGGCAGGCAAGAGCAGCAGCCAACAGTAACAAGAATTAAGTATATAAATCAAGTGATTTTTTTCTAAGGAAATTGTGCCAAAAATCACAGCTTGCTCACTATCCACCCTCTTCATTACTGGAGGTCTTGCAAGCCATGCATGCACACATGATCCTTTAGGATGTTAAACAGTTAGCTTGCCACCTATAAAGTCAATTATACATATTTCTAATATCAAACGCCACCAAATTTTCCAAAATAATGGAAAACATTCTACAGTAAGCCCCTCATTCTGTAAATTTTGGTGGTTCACTGGGCAGTCTGGTCTAGTATTAGATATGGAGGTTGGTGGCCCTGCCTGTGGCAGGGGGTTGGAGCTTGATAATTCTTGAAGTCCCTTCCAACCCAGGCCATTCTATGATTCACAATCAACTTGTAAACTACTGGGGTAGAGAAGATAAAACCCATTTTTCTGAGAATTAACTGAGAAATAAATGCGCTCTCAGTACAAGCATTAATAGCATTCATAATTCAGAATTAGGTTCTGAAAGGCAGCAACAAACAGGTGGTGGTCAGTTTCTGTTCTTACAGAGAAGTCCGGCAGCACTCCCTCTACTTCATCTTTTTTGTCAGGATTATTTAAAAATCAGAGAAGTATAATCTTCATTTTAACAGATTAAGAACTGCTATTCAGAGCTCTGCCAAACAAACATGATTTTTTAAAGAATGCCTTTGGAAAATGTCCTGTTACAATATTTATAGCTCATTATGTTCAAAGTTTAAAGCATTGACTTTTAAATCAGTTGCATGAATTATAACTCAATGTCATGATGACATGAATAATAATGCAAAAAATCGGAATCATAATTTACAAAAATGTTGCCTGATAGATTGAGAAATTGATATTTAAATCAGGTATTTAAAATGTATGAATAAAAATTTTAATCAACGGGAAAAAATCATTTCTGGGATTAATGTTGTTGTTAAGTAGAGGTCCACACATTTTTCACATTTTACTGTCACCATCCATATTTACACAGGAAAAGCTTATACAATAATGCATATCCAAGTTAAATTATCTAAAAGGGTATGACAGAGAGGTTAGCTAAAACCTATTAGAATTATTAACCCTTAAAATCATGTAAGTTCACAAAATGAGGTAACAAGTACAGTGGGCTTCACGTTTGTAACAAATCCCACATCCCTCATGGCAATTAAAGATGATCAATACACTCTTATGAGCCTTGAACATAAAAATACTCCAGCAAAAGATTTGCTGTTTATTGGAACAGGTCTATAATATTTTTATAGAATACTACAGAGTATTCTCTGTATCAGTGCAATGTACCTATGCACATATACACACAGATATATATAAATATGCCCATAAACATAATGAATGAAAACATGACTATGCACTCTGTAGTATGACTATAACTACTACAACTGATTATTTGCATAGCATTAGAACCTTAAAGCCAGAGCTGTAAATTGATGAATTGCATAAATGCAGAACAAAAAGGCTGTGTGTCCCCAAAGACCGGCTACCTAAACACAAGGCAAGAGGTACATGCAAACAAAAAGGACCAGAGAACCTAGATGAAAGCTGTCCAGACCAAAGGCCTGGTCCTTCATCGGAGAAACGGGAGGAGCATAACACCTAACAAAGAGGACTTTACAATTTGCTCTACAAATCCAGCTTGCAACTACAGAATGCAGAGATGGATTTCATCCAGGTCATGTTACTGTGTTTTATACTCACATTGTAAAGCAACAAATTCAAAGTGCTGATAAATGTACCATTGTTCTCCCTTACAGAAATAGCAGCCGATGACCTACAACAGAACCAGAAGAATCGTGAAGATCAAAAATGCATTTTATTTTTGTCTTTGCACACTTCAGTGTTTTTTATTGTTAAAAAACTCAATGAGCTGTATCGCAAGAAGTTAATTTATCTGTTTGGGTTATAAACCTCAGAAATATAAGCTTATGGTGGAAACACTGACAGAACCTTAACTATATGGAAAATAATGGATACTGTCAAAAACATGAATCAGAAAAATAATTAGCAGACAGGCAAAGTGACAAAAAGAAACCTGCTTTTCATGATGTACAGGATCTACTAATGGAAATATTTTCTTCCAAACAATTTCAAAAAGAATTTCCATGTCTACTGCTGTCATTTTGTCATCAGAATACAATAACTTTAAGGCAAGCTCTACAACAAAGCCCACAGTAGCTTCTCATAAACATTATGGTATCTCATACAGTCATGGTAATGAATTTCCCTTTTTACCTTTGCATCACCTCTTCTTTCAGTGTATTTTCTTTTTCATTCTCTTTACTATTATAAAAAGCTAAGTATCACCATGTTGACAGTACTGCTATGGCATGCAAATATTTAGGTATGCACAGATACAAATATATATGGGCTTATACAAACATGGGAATGAAACACATAGGAATGAAAAGGACACTTACGAAGCAAGCTGGGTATTGTTAACCAGGTACTCCAGAGGATAGCTACAGCTAAATTTGTACAGAAGCCCAGGTAAATAGCTGATAATAGTTGGTGGGTCTGGTGTATCTATATAGCCCGAAACATTACCTATCTGTACCACTGAGATATTCCCATAAGCATTGACACCTCGAGCTGAGGACACCTATTGAAGGAGATAGAAAACAAGTATTACCAGGAAGTTGAACGTGGGACAAGAGGTATACCTGGTGCTTTACCCATCATTTACCCAGAAATATCTTCAGGAAGATCTGTTGAAAATGAGTTTGCTTTATCAACACCGTGTTGCTTATGTTCTGTCTCTAACCTCCCCAGTATCAAGCATATACAGTTCACAGGGGATATCACTGTTCTTAAAACACAGATTTGAGTAACATTTGAGTAAAACTAATGAATCCTGGTAAGCACTTTCTCTGAGCATTCCCAAAGAATTTGCGTGCTTTGGACAATGCTGAAGGAACTTTTCTATTACAATGCCAATGGCATGTGACTAATTGTTCAGTCAATGGCAGGAAAATGCTCAATATCAGATTTCCTAGTCTGTCCCTTGCTTAAGAAACACAACCTGGAGCACCCAGGTAGCATAACCTGCTACTGCTATTTAACTTTCTCCCATCCCATCCTCCCAAAAATCAAAAAGGTTTGTATTGCCTTTGCTTATATGGAAAGCAAGTTTGAAGCCCTTCGCTGTGAAAAAGAGCCAAAAAGTTGCATGGGATTTTATTATTCCATTGTGGGGACCCTAAAACTTCCAGCTCCTTCATCCTCTTTGTGACACAGCATGCACAGACAGGTTGAGGAGAATTTTTGGTGATATTTTTTATCTTGTGCAGTTTTGTGGGAGCCCCTTTGGAATCTCCAATCTGCAGTTGTTTGGATTGATCAGACAGCGTGTTCTTAAAGTTATAATCAAAGAGCATGTTCTCAGAGTTGACAGTGTGACTGACTCCACATGAAGAGCAAAAGGTTCCTTCCTGTCAACTTCTAACACAGGTGATGGAAGGTACTCAGGGACTGGGAAAAGCAAAACTTGAGCTTGGTGAACTTGGTTTTGTTGAAATTTTTTCAAGAAAACTCAGCCTGAGGCAAATAGGTCAGAGTGTATTTTGAACAATTCAGCACAGTTTGAGAAAATTATTAGCAACTGAAAACAGCAGAGCTGTTATGAAAACTGACAGCTAACTTTGATTGTATGAATTCCAGGTGGAATATAAGCCTTAAAAATAATACATTTTTACACATTTTTGTTATTTATTCATAGGCAGTTCGATATAAACAGTGGAGACTGTACAGGGCAACATACACAACTTGTGCAAGCTCACTCTTCCTTGGTTTAGAAGGAAGTCTAAGTCTAAGTCTAAAAGTCTAGGACTTTTTTTTTGGTCAGTCACTCACTGGTAGGTAATTCCTTTTCAAGGGAGTGAAATTTATATCAGTAGGAAACAGGGTTCAAAGTCAGCTCCTGGATCAGATTCTGGTTTGAAAAACTAGCTAAAGGTTACATTTAATCATTAGTTGCATAAGGATATGCACTGTTCATGCACAAAACAGTAACAAAATGTAGGCTCTGAAGTCATAGTCAGACAAAACATCATAGCACAGATTGACACTGCACCAAGTATAAGATCTGAGCTGAGCATACAAATCTGAACTTCAGACCCACACCTTGACTTTTTTTTTAAAATATATATATTTAAATATATTTTATATATATATACATATGTATATATGTATATTTTATATATATATTTATATATATATATGTGCATATAAAATTTGAGCACATAGGTAATTGCCCTTCTTCATTTTGTGGGTGTTAAGTGAATTTTTGTTTGTTCTGGTGAAATATTCCAAGTGTGCTTGAAAAGTTCAGTTTGTTGCCAGATAGTTCCACAGAGATGAGATCTGACAAGGAGGTGAATGCCATGAGAGCACTACTTGCAGAGGTGCCTGCCATGAGCTTACTCCCTCAGAGGGCTGAGTCCTCTAGCCAGATTATTTCCCCTGCAACATTCAGCCTGAAGGCCCTGCCTCATCACAATATATACAGGATCAATCATCAAGCCCATTCACACAAGAGCTCGGAAGCACCCAGACTATAACTCTCATCCTCTTAAAAATATTTTCCTTTTATTCCACAAGCAGGTATTTGAAAAATTTCAGGAAAACAAAATATGTTCAACAAAGGTTTTAAGAATGCTTTGTGAAAACATATTTTTCAGTGAAAATAAATTACTACTATGTGAAATGTACCATCAGAGGGCAAATGTGTCACATCACGTTTTCTGGTTAGAAATCAAGATACATTTTCAGCTTCTTCTGGTTTTCTTTGATGTATGCATTATATTGCTCACTGGGAAAGACAATGCAAACATTATCCATAAAAGATGTAATGCTGTCAGGCCATTCACTTGACCCTATGTATAAACAGCCATGCTACAATTTCACTTTGATTTCATCTTACCACTAAAGTGTTTCCACAGGATTCCAAAGTACTCAGATTGATGATGAAAATGACCACTGCTGGAAAGGTGTTGTTATTGATGAACCCCCTGCAGTGAGCATCCCCATGCTTCCCATTCAGTGCCAGATCTGTTTCAGAGTAACCAGAGAAAAGAACTGTGCAAAAATTTATCTTCATAGTAATTGTCTGTACTCCACAGAAAACATTGATATCTCGTTCAGCTGCAAGGAAAAAAATAGTAAAAGATATTGTAAAAAAAAAAAAAAAAAATTGTATTTAAACTAAAGAGCATATAATTATTGTACCAATTGGTCTGGTATTATAAATTCCTATCAAATCAATCTTTAGACCTCAGTCACAGCAAAATAATAATGGAATATAAAGAACAGAAGAGCACTGTTCTGAAAAACAAATATATCTGAATCTACGTCTTCACTAAAAATAAAAAATAAAAATGAATGCAGTAAATGTAGTCCACCATACAACAGAACCACTATTCCAGTCTTCACCAGCAAGTAATTTAGTAGCACATTCATAAGCACTGCAAAGGATTGGAAAAGTGGTTAAGTATCTGGAATTTGATTAAGCAGCCCTCTTCCGAAACTGTAAATTCCCAGCACTTTTGAGAAAACTTGGGAGGGAAGCTCCACCCCTCAGTCCACTCCAGATGGCAGCTGGCATGGAAGTGGGGTACATTTGAGGCTGTCTGGAGCCTACTTTGTACCAGACCACAGTCTCAGGCTGTGCAGCAGACAAGGAATAAAACCACAGATTGTCTTGCAATCTTTCATTCTGTACATTATTGCAGTACAAAAGAAGGTAGATTGCTTAGGACATCGCAACTGTTATAACTAATCAGTTTTTGAACAGCAGCAAAATGCTGATGAGTTGATGGTTGGACTAGATGATATTAGTAGTCTTTCCAACGTTAGTGATTCTATGAAAGTCCTTCTTGGATGAATGTATATTTATTTAATTTGAATATACTGAGGATTTTTAGGTGTTTGAATAGCAAAGCATCAGGTGAGATTATAGGGACAAGGGATGGTTTCTTTGGGTGGAGAAACCCAAAGTTGTTACATAACTTTTCTACAAGCTCTTCTTGTGTTTAGACAATGGAGGGCATTTTGTTTGGGTTTCTTTTTTCTCCTTAAGTGCTCTGCAAAAGGTGCACTGCATCATGTTAAACACAATCATTACTCGTTTATAGAACTACACATTTATTACACCTGCTTAAACATTAAGGGCTATTAAAAATTGCAGAACAACTTCAGTCAATACTATGCCATTAAGCCTGCTGAAATGAATTGTTTCACTGAGCTGACAAAACAGAGAGGAAATGAAATCTCCATTATAATGAACTAGCTCTTCCCCCATGGTACAGGAGCACAAACAGTTTAATTTAGACAGCTTTAACGGTGGCTTTAAAGCCAAAACAATCAAGTGCAGAAAATAACAGGCTAAACTCTGACCTGAACTAATGTGGTGATAAACGCTACTCACTAGATGTAAATTTGGGCAGAAAGGTACTGGAGGCAAAACATAAGTAGAAGTGATGTGGTGTGATATTCTCCTGGTTTGTACATGTACGTATTTTCACTAACATAATGTACAAAAATCAAGAAGCATGTTATGGTATTCACTGCTAGAGGACTGTTGTAATTCAGTTAATGGGTATACTAGGGTGGAGGGGGCAATACAAAAAACATAAATAGCAAAGGATATGCTTCTACACTTATTCAAAGCAATTCACTGATTGTAATAAATTGCAGGATATAATATAAAATAGCTCACTTAATTTTATAACTCACTTCAAGCCTCTTTAAAAGCAGGGTGTTATTTTTCCTGCTATGGTACCTTTATAACTTGCAAAATTCTCATTTGACACTAATGGAAATGGGACCATACGGTACAATAGCCATTTTGCACTATAAAGGAGGATAAGCTGCTTTCCTAAACTGAACCTTTTTGCTAACTGCTTTTCAAGGACACATTGTTATTAAATCTGCCCATTCTCCAATTCAAAAAGCACAGCGTTTGTTTAGAAGCAATTCTGAAACTAAATTACAAACAGATCTAATGCCCCTTTAGATGCTAAATGTCTAGCAAATTGTTTGTGAATTTAGAAAGTTAAATATTACTCCTATATATGTATGTTTAGACAAAAATAGTTGCATTCCTGTGGTGAAAGCTTCTAGTTTTCTGATGAAGATAGTTGTGATGGCTTGGAGGTAAGGTCACCCAGCTGAGACTTGATGGGGCCTTCAATACAATGGCCTCTATTGCTGTTGTGTACAGGCAAAGCACTTGGCCTTTGACTCAAACCACACTAGCTTTCCATGGGCAAGAGTACTTACAAGAACGTCATGTGCAAAACAGCACAACCCATGAGGTATAGTGATAACTACAGTAACAGAGACCTTGAGTCAAGGATGGACTTTTGGCAGCACGAGCCAAATGTTGACAGCTCCAGTGCTCGCTTCTGCCAGGTGTCCATCCGTACCACCAAGACTTGCAATGGAGCTAGCAGTAAAAATGTGTGGAAGACAAGAACTTGCCAGAAAACTGCTGGCAGAAGTCATTCCACCAGAAGAAGTACGCAAGGATATTTATAGCCCCAAACCAGCTTTTCTGCAGAAGCCTCTTCTTTGATTAAGTCACAGCTTCAGTGGTGAATTAAAATGTGCAAGAGTGTGTGAAATAGCAGCAGCACATTCTGGAGATGAACTAGTTTTACAAAGTTTCAGCAAGAGCCCTGAATCAAAACTGTGCATTTCCATCTGAAGACAGCTGCACTAACATGGCTGTACACTCCAAAAGCTATGCTCCACTACAATTCAGAACTCTTTTCTTCAAGCAGCTTTCTGAAGGACAGCAGGAATTGACCTTATTCCATACTCAAGAATACATCTGCCTTTAAATACAAAAAGTCACTGAATTTTTGATCGACCAACTGCAATTTTGTCTACATCCCTGCTGATTATTGCATGCTTATGCTGTAAAACAAACCTGCAAACTGCAGGAAAAAAAAAAAAGTCCTGTCTGATTATTTATCACCCTGTTTATGCAGCACCATCCCTATGCAAAAGTCGTCTAAGCAGCGAACGATAAAAGCACAAACAAATGAAAAATGGATGAGCTCTGAGGGTCTTTAGGAAGGCTTAATTTCTCATCTTTGCTGAAGACAAGTTTCCTAAACTTCTGTTCCTCTCAGCATTAAATAAAAGAGCAAACAACTTCAAAAAAAAAAAAAAATAATCAATGGCTTCTGAGGTATCTGCACACCACAGACCTCAGCTAGAATGTCCACAGTCACCTTGTATTTGGAATTTCAGCTGACAAAAACAAATGCTTTTCACAAGGAACAAATAAGGAACAGGGAAGAAAATCCTGCCCACAACCTAGCTCTGCAGGGCAGTATCTCAGCCTCAAAAGACACTTGTTTGACATGTGCTTCGTTCTGACCCCTCATTCTCCCCTTATACCTGAATGCTGAAGGTCGTCAGGTTTGCACTCACAGAGCCACAGGCTGAGCCAAACACCAGGGTAGCAAGCACAGGGAAAAGTGAGCCCCTCGCTCCCTGTACAGGTTCCAGCCCATCTTCTGGGATACTTGAACCAAACAGAGTTCTTGGGGTTTACTGAACTCCACCAGCCTCAGCACATCACTTAGCAGCCCCTCTTGCACAAAATACCTGTCATATTTTGGGACAAAACCATTTTGGTTTTTCATCTCTAGCTCAAATACTTGGCTAACATAAGCAAAATTATTTTTCTTTCTTAGCTCTCAAAATCAGCACTAAGACCACTGATTAAATTTCAGCCTTTGAGTTGCTACTGCTTGAGATCACAAACAGGAACAAGCAGGACTCAGCTCTTACCTGCTATGGGCAATGTGGCATGATTAGAATTTACTGAAAAAAATAATAATGTTTGCTTGTAACCTAAACAAATGTGCCCAAGTCTCTGGGATTCAGCAGGTATGGAATCTGATATAGCCATTATTATGAGACAGAACTGTAATTAATTCCTAAATACCCTCAGTAAGATCTGGATTCATTTTGTGGGTATCACACAGCAAATAGAAAACCATGGCATAAGGTTAGTGCAAAAGGTGACCAGAGAAGCTTTCACAAAGCACTGAAAGAAGAATCTAAGCTTCCCTCTAGTGGCTGCAATCCTCTTAAGAAGTCTGAAATGGGAAAAAAAAAAAAAAACAACAACAAATAATGATGAAAGGTAGATCTGAGATAGGTGGGCACAATTAACCCACACTTTTTAGTCAAGTCTGTAAAACTCTAAGAATAGAAATATAGAAGTAGTTTGTGAAAAACTCAGCTTAATGGTGATTTTTGCCAGGGATCAACAAAACATATTTTATCCTTTTTCCATGTCCTGTATTTCTCTACTTTTCATATTCACATCAATCAAGGGAAAAAAGATTCAGAAACATTTGGTCTTTTATATCAGCAAAGCACCTAGCAGTGTGGTAGTAATAGGAAACAGTGAAAACAAATGATTCAATAAAACTGATCTTTCCCAAAGAAACATCAGAATTATTATTATTTTGGAAAAAAAAAAAAAGAAAGAAGGAAAGAAGGAAGGAAAGAAAGGAAAGGAAGGAAAGGAAGGAAAGGAAGGAAAGGAAGGAAAGGAAGGAAAAGAAGGAAAGGAAGGAAAGGAAAACAACAAAAGGTATTACAGCATAATGCTGAGAGTTCAACACTTTACTGTTTGATTCCATCACTACCACAGGAACACAAGATGTGAATCAGTCAGAATCATCATATTATTCTGACCAAGAACCAACAGAGGCAGGAAAAATAAACCATGTAACAGACTAACAACATTCTTTACCTGATTAAATTCTGATATATATGTTTCTCAGAGCATTAACAGTTTTGGACATCTAATGTCCCTAGAAAAACTTAATCCCTATTTTCTCAAGGCATGAATATAGATCATCTATAGATGCATTGCACAGCTTCACCTGCCTCCAGGCAAGAGCTTAATGGTGAAGTGAGGCACTGAATTTTGCCATCAACTTCATTTTTGCTAAAAAATACGTATGTATTTCTGTATTTCATTAAAAGGACGTAATTACGTCACTTGGATAAAACTTGAAAGAAAACCAGTTAGATGTTTCAGACTCTTAAACCTGTAAAGAGCATTTCAAACAACATGACTTCTGGTGAATTTCTTGAACAGGACGGAGCTCTGCCAAAAGCAGGTCAAACCCCACTGATGTGAAGGTAGTTGTATTCATTAATACTAGGCTGGATTTGACCCAGCGTGCAATTAAGAAGAGTGTAAAGTGTAACATTACAGGAGTTTCATTGTCACTCAGGTAGTTAATATTCATTTAATGTGAAGCCCTACCCCTAGGTCTCAGACAGATTTAAAGCTCTGTATTTAAAAATAAGCGCTGCTTTGAACCAAGACAGTAAAGAAGCCATTTAGAAAAAAAGTCTATTAAACACTTACCAGGAAACCTGCTATGGAGGTTAGCATCACAGTTGTAGCCGTTGAACTGAGCAGTCACCGAAAGCACTTTAATCGTCAGCAGGAGCAGTAACCATACCTGTTCCATTGCAAAACCTAGCAAAACATTAGGTGGTTATTACACACATCTGCTCGTTGTGTTGAAGATGCTTAGTGCAGACATTTTACCACTCGGGAGGTGATGGCCTCCAGCAAAGGAATCGTGGATAAAGCTCACAACCGTATGAGAAAGAGGCCACGGGCAGCTGGGCCCATTTCTGTTTCTGAGCTTTTAATCACAACTTGCAGCAAAGAAATGCTCATGGATGGTATAAAAGAAAGAAAAGGGGAAAAAGTCCCCTAAAATTTATTGATAGATTAGGGGGAGTGCTTATGCAATTGAACATTGGCAGCTTTTTCTTTTTTTTTTTTTTTTTTTTAATTTCAGTGTAAAAATCCGTTGAGAAAGATGAATTAAGCAGAACAATGTTTTATTTCAGCCACGTCCTTGAAAACTGTACAGATAAATGTCTTTTGGAGCAATTCTCAGGCTCAAGGTCCTGGAATAAAATCAGTCCATATCTAATTGCCAAAAATCTGTTCTTTGAAGCATGCATGCAATTGAATTGAGCTCAGGTAAGGAGTTGGCATAGAAATTACATCTACTTGAATCATACGTGGCAACCAGTCTAGAAGGTCAGAACACATAAATTTTTCATGTCTTGAATGATTATTCTTCCTATGAGGAATTCTCCAAGGTGTCATACTTATGATATTTAGCACAATCAATAAATATCTGATTCACATATTCATCAGAAATAACTCAGAATACCAAGGATTTTGTCCATGAATTGCTTTACTTTTTCTTTTCTTTTATTTACTTTATCAACAGAAAAACCTCTGCTAATCTGAAGCAATACTCTGTTTTCCCACAAAGGAACTGGGCAATATTGAGAGATTTAGGTGGTTTGCTACCTCTAACATGACAGCAAGAGATAATGATCGTCACATTTCTCTGAGAAGAGAAGGAACATTCATAAACACAGCACACTTCCACGCAGCCTTGGAAGGAGCTAGCAACAGCACATGGGGAGAACGTTTGGGACAAACTCCCACTTTTTTATCTGGATCATTCATGACTGTATAGGAGTGTAGGGTTTAAAGCCTTGTGTTGAGAGACAGAGACTCTCACAGAGCATTCCCAAATGCTCCTTGGCAGCAAACAAGCCAACTAGAACAAAGCATGAGCCACGCACTACATGAAGAAGCCAAAGGAATGTCCCAGCACTGCCAGAGGAGTCCAGTCATTCACTCCTACTCAATTCTGCCTGGAAGTACCTGAGATTAAAATAGAATTGGCAGCACCAAGTTCCTGCTAAGCAGGCATATTGGTACTTGGACTTTATCCTTGTAGGTCCCAGCCAACTGAAGCTATTCTATTCTTAATAAGTCAGATTCAACTTTTACCATCCTATCTACAAGCAGCTGTGCTGTGTGTCTTCTGCTCATCTTCCTGATCCAAGTGTCACCTATAGCAACAGTGCAACCTTCTTTTAGTCTTAAGTGGATACAAAATTCTAAATAAAACAATTCTTTGATCCTTTAATCTTTTTTTTGATTAGACTCCTGTGGAGGTTGACAGCACTTGCAGCTAATGCTAACCAAAAAAAAAAAAAAGAGAGAGAGAGAGAGAGAACAAAGAAAATAAAATTCTTAACTGGGTTGCTATGAAACCTCTACCATTTCATGATCTCCTTACCTTATCCATTACTCTCAGTGAGAATTAGGGTGTTTGGGGTTTTGATGGTGGTTGTTTTTTTTTAGAACTGGGAAAATTCAACCTTTATTTTGTGAACATTTTTTACTGTGGAAAACTGATGTTTCTGCAGTATATTGGAGCCTTACCTCTGCTTGTACAACTGTGATTTGGATAAAATGCCTCCTTCTGTTGCCTTGTAATTGAGCTAGTTTCTGATAAATCAAGGGCAATTTAACAAGATCTAAGTCTGACTTCAATTTCCTAACTACTACAATATTTTTTTGCTACAAATAAAAAAAAAAAAAAATGTTTGAAAAGAATTTAATGAGAAATCACACTGACAAAGCTGTAACTATTATTTTAGATGAAAAGCAGACCTTCAGATAAATTCTAAAATGTTAATTATTAAACTTAATTTCTGTTGCTGTGCTTCAGAGGGAAGAGAGATGATTGCTAAAGACCAAAACTGAATTAAGACATTAAGTATTTATAGCATTAGTTCTCTAGCCGCATTCAGAGCGAGTCAAATTTTAACACAACCAATGATGTTCTTCTAGCTCTCCAACTACTGACTGATCTGCATATGAATTAGCATGCAGATCTGCAGCACCAGTTGGGATGACTCCTGCTGATCTCAGTTAAATAAGTTAAGAATGTGCATTATTTTTTTATTTCTTGCAAGAGAATTGCAGGGCTAGAAAATACCCTGAGAGGCCAACTTCATCTATCCATTTACCACTGTAAGGATCAAGGCAACCACTCCTTCCCAACTTGCTTTTAAAATGTTTCCAGCAACTTCTCACTAAAAAAATGCTAAAACCTCAGCCAACCAAATGTACAAGTCATCCAAACCAAAAGATTTGTACCATAGAATCATTGAATGCCTTGGGTTGGAAAGGACCCTGATCATCAAGTTCCAACCACCAACCATACAGACACTGCTTAATATTTCATCTAATTATTTCATCAAAATGGCACTTGTCTGTATATGCCTATAAAATAAAATATCCACATAGAAAAAAAAAGGAAAGTAAAATTCAAGCCTCAGGAATAGGTGATTTATAACCCAGAAATCAACATGTTCATAAGAAAGATAGTAAAGATATAAATGTGCTTTTTTTTTTCTCCCCTTGCTCTTTAACATGGAATGGAGTTCTTTTGGCCATTTTTGAAGATTACAGCACTTTGTGCTTTTCAAAAAAAAAAAAAAAAAAGTGCTTTTTGGTCCAGAAACAAATATATTTGTCTGTTAAAAGAAATTTTCATGATTCAATTGACACAAACGGCACAAAAAATGTCTTCCTTCACTCCAGGTTTCACCAATGTAACTAAAGTACTCTTTTGTTTTCTTCAATCTTCATTCTCCATTTTCTCTGCTGAGCATCTTTGAAAATCTTTTGATGTTTACATGATTTACTATGTTCATTTATGACACTCAGTGTAGTGTTTGGACTCACTAAAATGCCCAAATCAAGGGAAAAAAAAATACTTTCAAAGTCATGCAAATAATTTAACTTAGTTTCTGCTCCTATACCAAAGGATATCTTCCAAACAAGGTTTAGTATATTCTATTTATCAAGTGAACAGTTCTTTCCATTGATTTGGAAATGGAGGAAAGCTCTGTGTACAGGACTTACATGTATACCAAAAAAGTTCACATGGCAACTATCTCAAGCATTCATAGTAGAACAGATCTGAAGGATGAGTACAGACAAAGAGACAGAGACTTGAAGACCTATCAAACATGGTTAATTAATCATTTCAGAGACCGTGCATCATTTAGATTTCTAAAACAACCAACTCTGTGGAAAAACAGCTCGATATATTTGGGTTCCAATCTACCAAATTTTCAAAATTTCAAATGCTGAAGTAGACAGGATATGAATTTCTTTGCAACTGGATTTGTTTATATATCCAGCACCAAGTCATATCTGCAGGTCTTACTGTTCTGTGTTCCATGTCATTGAAGAGCACAAAGAGGTAACAGTTGCAACATGCATCCCTCAATTTAATTGTTATTATTCTACAAAGCCCTTGTCCCTGATTTCACAAATGTTGCCATATCAGAAAACCCACACAAAATTTCAAAGTAAAGATGTTTTGCAATTTAAATGAAAGTCATTCTGTATTCAGCTTAGAAATACTGTGGAACAGCAGTGACTAACCTAAATTCCTTCTTTTATTACCTGCCGCACAATTCACTTGTTCTGTCATCCTCTCATTTTTAAATGATCTTCAATGATTTTCCATTTTGAGCAGCATTCACTACTGGTTCAGTCCTTCATTTTTATTTCAATTCACTTGTGAGCTAATTTCAACTTCTGAGCTTAGTTTTTATTTCAAATATTCATCCTATATTTTATAAGAACTGCTTATAATCTGATGCTTGTTCTTCATTTTCCATTTATGGAGTGGCAATGCTACAAAATAATACAGTGATATTTATGTATATTGACTTGTGCATAATAAAACTAGCAGAATAAATGTTCCATTTACAAGTGTTTTCATATAGATCTATTAACTGACTAAAGGCTCTCTAGCAACATACATAAGGTCTCTGCAAGTAATAGAATAGAAAAATGATTGCTTTTACTTAAAAATGTTTTGAAGTAATCATGATATTGTTCAGTGAATACTACATCTTATAGTAATTTCATGACAAAATAGCTCCTTGTCCTTTCGGTTCATGTCTGTCTCACTGTTTACCTTGCTCCTGCATCTGTGCTGGAGTTGTGTGTTAGCTGAACCTCCATCAGAGCTTCCAGAACTGCTTTCTTTCCAGACATATACCAGACCATTTGCACTTAAAAGTAATGTGACAAACAAATCCAGAAGAATAATTCTCTGCCCTTCAGTTGAACTTCAGTTCTGCCCTCCCTCTGAAGCACCCAGCCCTTCAGTTGAACTTTCTCATTCAATTCCTACATCCCACTGTAACAGATTATCCAGACCATGCAACCTCTGTCATCACCTTATTTGTATCTTTGGCTCTTCTGATGCAGATAAAACAGGACTTGGATCATTAGAGTATCTGTTTTGAAAACAAGGGTACCAAATGGTGTAATTCCTGGTTTTTGGTTTTGGTTTTTTATTTGTTTTTGTTTGTTTTCTTCCTAAAGGATAGTAATAGAAAAAAAAAAAAAAAAAAAGGGTGCCTGAAATGCAAGTAACTTTTTAGGAATAGATTTCATCTTTAATATTTCCATCCACTTGTGAACAAATTTTGGTGTCAAGACTTTGAAAAACAGAGTTTCTTTTCTTATGAATGCTTCGGATTTCAGATCCCAATAGGATGCTATTTCTGACATCATGCAAAAGCTGCAAAGGTGAAAATACGTGTACAGAGATAGGCACACATACATAACACTTACACACACACACACTGACTAGTATCTTCTGATCAAAACAAAGCTGATGACATAAACCCGCAAAACAGATTGGATGTTCCCAAAATTATAGCACTTGAAGGTACTCAACACAGGAATACAAGCATAATAAAGACAACACATACAAGGAAATAATAAAGCTAAGAACACTAGAAATCACTTCATCTGCAAATGCAAAAAAATGCATCTGATTTTTCTTTTCTCAACAGAATGGGAAAATAATTTTGTTTTAAATAGGCAAGCTGATCTCTCTACTAGCTATTCAGAATACAAACAGCAGTGGTGGACTATGCAGGAAAGACGATGCGTGAAATGTACAGGTGTACTTAGGCATATAGTTGCTTTCAGTATCAATTATTTGGCCCCAGAAATGACTCGTGCACATTTTCTAGTCATACGTTTAGACTCTATTCTTGAGATATAAAACAGAAATCCTGGAATGTCTCTATACTATATGAGCTTTGTAATTAATACAGGGTCAAAGCTCAGAGCACTGACTAAACCAAACAGGAACTGTGCTTGATGAAGAACAAATCATAGACAAAATCTCAAATGCCAAGATATTTGGTGAATCAGTTGCCTAAGGTATCCAAAGAAAGTGAGACTGGGAACAAACCTGGGAGGGACCTTTTTTTCTTAATAAAGAAAAATAAATCAAATTTTTGGTTTTATTCCAAACTTGTTGGTTGTTTCTTTTTTTTTCCTTGTCCCTCTACAACAACTTCTTTCACTTAAACTAATAATAATGTTTTTGGCTTTTTTAAAAAAGAGATAGACATTAATTTTCCATAAAAGTAATCAACACCAAAATTACTAGAATTTAATCTGGAAGATGGTCATTTCATAAAGCTATCAAATTTGGACCGGCATGCTACATAGGCAATGGAAATTGAGATCATCAAATATTAATGTAGAAGTAATACATAGCTTTCTTTGAACTGAAGTGAAATAACCATTCTAAGCCCTGCTGAACACCGAGAGGCTGAAAATCTAGATCTGGTTCCTAAAGACACAGCTCAGGTTATCTTTTGTGAATCGTATTACTATTAATGAGAATTAAACATCTATGTTGGGTAGATAATATTAAAGCCATGCAGTGCCCTTCAACCTATAAAATCAGTGTAATGCATACTGAGAGATACACAATAGCCTTGGTACATCCACAACTTCATCCCGTAGCCTTAGGTAGGCAAAACCCTAGTTGAGACTTTTTTCTTACTATTGTTTACTTTGCCATTCTAAAGGCTAGGGAAATGTAACCACTGTGCTATATATTAATAACAAAATCTGTATTTTAACAATTCAAAGCATTCATAATAATAATAATCTTTAGAATGCTGTATGTCAGCATGCAAGTCTACTTGCTGTTATGACAAATCCTTGAATGCACAGAGGTTTTTTTTTTATTATTATTCTGTTCTGAAAAGAAATTGACTGCTTATTTACAAAGTAAAAAGAGAAATAGTGATCAAATGAATAGTACAACTATATGAAATATTTCCAAGGGATTTATAAAAAATAGCACAATACCTTCCAAGGAGATAACAGACTAGAAGTGAAACAGTCATTAAAGCACTTTAAAAAGCTATGTTTGAATAAGTCATAGATCCTGACAGTCTATATATATTTAAATTCTCCACTTAAGATAGTTAAAATCATGATGCAAGCAGTTCACCTGTTATTCTGTGCTAAACAACAGTACAACAGTTATTCTAGATGTTTCCTATACCCAGGAGTGAAATACTAATATTCCTCAAAAGGGCTACCTTTCCTTCATGCCATTCTATATTATTTTTACTATAGTTATTCTTAGTGATCAGTTCAATTTTATTTAAGTATTGCCAGAATATTTGGGTTTTCTTTCCTCCCACAGAAATGGTGTGAATAAGCAATTTAGAACTTGCTGCATTTCACAGAAAACATTGCTAAAACCCTCCCACACATTTATATTGACATCCTAAGGCTTTTGAGAACATTAGTGTTATAGCTATAGTCATAGCTATTATATCATACAAAGAAAGTATCGAAACATTATGTACCAGATAGATAAACCAATAAAATTATTCAAATTTCTGTTTGAAATGTTTAATTCACAGATGCCTCAATAAAATGTAAGAACATAAATCAACTTAAAGCTTCAGATACAAAAATACATAAAACAAACAAACAAACAAAAAAAACACCAAAATCAACTGCATCTCTCAAGTCAGACAAGAAAGTTTTCTGTGCTGCCCTTCCAACCTGTAGGAATCACTATGGTTTTCCATGGGCTACGAATTGTGCAATGCTGGCACTGAGCTCAGATTTTAGAAGAAAACAGGACTGAAGGAAGTGATCTACTATCAAAGCTTTGGACTAGAATTAAAGAGTTTTGGAAAAATTATTCTCTGATTTCACATTGTCTACTACATAACCAGAAAAATGTGTCAGACTGAGAAAAAAAAAGTAAATTCAAAATAGAATTTGGAGACGATTGTAGTGATCTGAAAAGATCATTTTATTCCAAATCTGGAAATCCTTGACAAAGCAAGACCTCCTTTTCATGATTAAAACTTATGATTTGATGTTTTGCTGTGTATTTCATTAATCTTGAGTTAGAACTTAGATTCTTTGTGCAAATTTGGTGGGTTCAACACAAAAAGCCAAGAATTTAAACCAACTGAAAACAGACTTCCTATTATAGTCACAATCTGTAGTTAACAGTTAAAACTGATTACAAAACAAGTTTAATCACATAACCAATAGCACCTACCTATGAACTGGCTACAGGTATCTGCAATGAACGCAATGACAACAGAATTTTGAGTCACTGGCTAACTACACTGACTACATAGAAAAATGGTTTGATTTTGCTCTCTTGCACCTGTTCCACATTGCGTTTGTCTTTCACTTTTGGCAGAGATATTGCAATTTGAAAAACAGTAAGAGACTAAAGCAAGTCCAGATCATCTTAGACAAACACAAGCAACGGTTATGTAGTCCTCTATATGGGCGAACAGGGATTGTCCCTGAAGCCTGGAATGAATAGGTTGTTTCTAGGTTTAAAGATATTCAGCACAAGCACATTCAACCTACTGATTTCTTTTTCACATCACTGATCATTATGAGGATTCCATCAGCTAGCAAATTTACAGAGACGATCAAATCATTTGATATAGGCCACTAAAGAGTCGTCACATGGTAATGGCCTTCAGTTGCCTCTAACTATGGTCTGGATTCCAAAACACCAATACAGCGACGAGACACTTCTAATCCTATTGCACTCCCCTAGAGCCTTGCAGTCACGTGGGCAGATAAAGATCTAAATGAGTATCATTCTCCTTAATTACTCTTTTTACGCTTTTGAAGAGAGCAATATAAATATAAATCTTCAGTAAATAATGCTCGATGTCACTGGCAAGTAGATTATAGTGCAGCCATCTGTTTGCAGTTTGAAAAGTTACCATTAAAATAAGACTTCACTGACAAAAAGCACCAACAGTTTATGCTATCAGATTGACTTCAATTTCCTGACTTTTAGGAATAGAAATTAAGCAGTAAAGTTATAGAATGCCACTGTAGAATTGTACAATCTCATCTAATCCTTAAAAGTTAAACAAATATGGGGTAAATAACACTGCTAATATCTTGCTCTAAACAAGTATAAGAACCCACAGGCTTCATAAATGTGTGAAATCAGAGAGCGCTCACACTGTTCCAAAGATTACATTTAAACAGAAAGAGAGAAGCTATTTTATTTTACAATGAAATAAAAAAAGATTTGCTTATGAATATTTCTTTCACCAAGTTTCAAGTCCCTCTTATAGCCATTTTGGACTTATTACACGGTTTGAAGTAATTTTTAAGCCAGCCTCTAAAACAAGCCTGAGGGATATTGCTCAAGACGGAGCTAAAAGAAAGCAAAACATCGTGCACTGATAAAAAACATTCTTTGATCAAAAGAACACAAGTAGGTTGAACAGTTTCTTCTACTGCTGCTCTAGGACGATGCTAAAATTTCCTGTCACAGTGCACACAGTGATTAGAATAACTATGTCAATTTGGACTGTATCAGTTCATCAGCTTAACTAAAGACTTGATTTCAAATCCCCACTATCTTCACTCATGAGTATATTGTCATTATTAATACTTTTTAAAAAAAAATAATGAAAGGTGGTGCAATTATCACATCCAACCAGCTTTGTTACTGCAGACAATGTCATTTCCAATCAGCAAACCCATGTCATTATACTGCGGAGGGAGACAGATAAGAAGTCTCGCTTATCAAAATTTTCCTCCATCAATGCAATGATTGTGGGAACAGGCAGACTGACACCACAAGTTGGATAACATTGTCTCCCTCAAGAAATTTATTGTTTCCCTCCTGAAAGCAAAGCGAATGGGATTGACACACATTGTAACCTCAAAGGTGTATAACCTTCCTCCCCTCATATTAATGATGTGGGTCTGGTCTGGGTACCTTTACTTAAAATCTAAGTTGAGAAAAAAAATAACACCTCTTTTCCCAGCTGGATGATAATTTGCCTTTCTGTTTTCATTATCCATTCCCTACATAGTTCTTCCCCAACCAACTCCCTCTGAGACTTTCCAGTGAGTTTAAACTTGTCAAACAAGTGTTAAAATGATAACTTTTTAAAATAACAAATAATGTGAAATTTTGCAATATTTTAGTAAGTTCTAGTTGGCTGACATAGTGGGCACTTACCCAAATCCCCTGAAGCTGTTGAGTCAGCTGTACTCCATCTATCCTGTGCTCCTGCATGTGATCAAGTGTTCAACTTCTCTGTCCTGCAGAACTTTTCAGAAAGCATTCTGATCCTGCTGGTGGGGGAAAAGAGACACTCATTATGAAAATTCTTTTAAAAATAGGTCTGGATTTTAGATGGGAAAATTTGACAGGTCTCAGAATACCTTACAAGTCTGTTCATCACCATGCTGAAATCTGAGCAGGATCTTTATGGTGCCTTTTTTCAATCCTCTGCCTCTTTTTTCTTGCAGCCTTTTGATCTACTTCTCTCCACTTGTACGAACATCTCCAGAGCTCCAAGTGGGACAAACAATCAACGTGAAGAAATTATTCTGTCATCAGCTTGTTGAGGGAAAACCTTGTCTGCTTAAAAAGAGGGGTGGGAGGAAGGAGACAGATGGAAGCACTGAGATAGGATCAGTAACTAAGCTGCATGGTTATCAATGCCCCATTGTGTGTTGTGAGAAGAGTCTAGTTTTTTCAGTTCTGGGCTAAATTCATAGTACCCACAAAACAAAAGCAAAAAGAGCGACATTTCACGCTGTGATGAAAATGTGATATGGGGGTGTCACTGTGAATACAGGTGACAACAGAATGATAATTACCAACAGGACATCAATGCACACAAAGCCAACTGCATACAAAGGCAAGATCAAGCTGCTAGAAACTAAACCTGCTTCATAACATCTACTCCCTGATCCTCGGGCCTTAGAGGGGGCAGAGGGAGATGTTTCACTCCCTTTTGTTGCATTAGATTTTTTCTCTCTCCTGCCTCTTTTCACCTTCTCCCTTTAGTTTTTGTGACAGCCTGTAAACTTTCATTATACCTTGAGGCAGGTAAAACTGTAGTCCATAGGCTTTGGCATTCCATAGAAAGCTTTGAGGTGCCTGGATTTGTTGGGGCACAGCATGAACAGTGAAGCCTGGCCTTTGCCATGTCTTCACTTACACTAGTTGCTCATAGACATCAATGCTGCTAAGCACATCCACAGCAACCTAAGCCAGTCTGGACGAGTAGTGACCTGGTGGCCCAGTACACTGACCTCCCCACCTCATAGGCTTGCTCTATCAGGTGAATGAAAAAGGAAAGCAGCAAAGCAGGTTTCAACAACAAGCTTCCTCATATATAAGCCATGTGTTCTGCACCCATGTGTTCTGCATCCCTGGATGCTCCAGATCCAGGAAGGAGAGCCCAATGCTGCTTCCCCATGCAGACATGCAGAGCTTTTGCTGCTTCCAGCAGTTTTGTTCCAGAAAGAATCATTTATAATATACTCTGAAGTCATCAGACAACAAAAGGCTTTTTATACTTGTAAGTCTCTAGTCCTATTTTCAGACACATATCCTATAACATTAATGGTTTGGCTGGGTGGGAGCTCAAGAAACTAAATCCAACCCTTCAATATTAATAGTACAATACAACAAGGACTAGGGTTGCCTTGGACTAATAAAAAGATAAACAAAAGGAAATGAAGCAATGACAAGATCTTTACTTCATATTAAGTGTTTAGACAGGTTTGATACCTCAAATCACAAGAACACATTGAAATATCTCAATATAATATCAATTTCACAAACAAGAGTGTTAAAGCATGGTCTTACCCTTGAGTAGGTTTCCAACACAGGAATTTCAGTTAAAGATACCTATAAAATCAAAAGTTATCCCCTGCCTTATGGCCTTCAGATGAGTTTATTAAAAAACATCAAATCATGTAAAGACATTGTAGGCAATTTCTCTCCATTTCCAGTGGCAGCAAGTACAACTTCTGCAAAGTTTGTACTGCTTCCTTCCATACAGACATGCACACAATCAAGTCCTTCCTCAGCATCACAGCTGTCACCTCTTCTTTCTCTTGCTGCAGAGTATGTTTTTCATAGAATCATATAATCATTTGAGTTGGAAGAGACCGTTACAGGCCATCTAGTCCAACTTCTCCACAACTAACAGGGACACCTACAGCTGGATCAGGTTGCTTAGAGCCCCATCCAGCCTGACCATGAACGTCTCCAGGGATGGGGCATTCACCATCTCTCTGGGCAATCTGGTCCAGAGCCTCACCACCCTTACTGTAAAAAACCTCTTCCTTATATCCAATCTCACTGTTAGCACTTGTAGTTTCAATGTGCTAGACAGCAGGATAGGTCCTTACAACTTTAGCTCACACCAAAAACCAGCCATTTCAGCAGCTATGCACACTGAGGAATCATGGCTACACACTTTCGGGAGACTTAATTCTCCCCCATCAGCTGCAGGAGCAGCTTGGCTGGAGCAAACACGTCCAACTACAAGCAGAAATGGGTTGAAAGCTGTCTGGGCAACACAGCTCAGGAGAGCCTGCAAGACCAGCCTTCATCCTGGCAGGTCATAAGTCTTCTAAGGTCTGTCAGCTAGGCAGTCCATCATTTTGCACCTCTACTAAAGTTAACTGACCTTAACTGAGAAGCATATGGTGAGATGAAAGTACAATTATCTGCGTTATCCCATCCCCAGACAGCTCACACAGTTTAGGATTGCAGTAGCTTTACCCTCAATCCACTAGAACAGGTAAGAAGGAACACAGCTACAATGTGTTCAGACAGTAATTAGTTGACACATATTTAAAGAAGCAGTGAACAAATCTCTGCACTTTCTAGAAATAGCACTTCACTGCTATCACACAATACTATAAGCAATCTGAAGGATATGCTACATGTACCCATAAAATCCCAAGTTGTTTCAAGTTTTCCATAAATAATAGCATTTAGTAATTCCACTGCTACATGATGTTATCTACTCTTTAAAAATAAAAAGAAATCCTTGTATTCATTAACACGAAGCAAAATAAAACAAGCCTAAGTAATTCATCTTTAGGGATGTGAAGGGATGTGCCCCCAAACCATTTAATTCTCTGAATTTACAGAATTTATTTATAGAAAAATGATTTTTGCTCTGTAAAATATTTAATAATTTTACAAGCTTTTTTCAGCATGATTTCAAACAGTCATTCTGGTCAGAACAGATATAAGACAACAACAGTATGAATATACGAAGTGAAAAAACAAAGAATAACTTTCCAAAAATATTATTTTAAAAATTCAAAATCTGTCTCCTTTCTATAAATCCCCAGGCCTGTCCCACTATCTATTTTCTGTATTCTTTTTTAGATTATAACAGATGTTTTTTCTAAGCAATGATTTTAGAGAATTTCAGGACACAATCTGATTGCAAGTTTTCGTAACTCATCTAAAGGATCTGAAGGACTAAAGCATCTCAGAAGCTTTCTCTTTTCATGTAGACAGATACACTAAATAAGTGAAACCATTTCTCCCACCCTCTCCTTCAGGACGCAGAAAGTTCCCACTCACCCAGAATGTGTTGCTGATACCTAACTGCACACAGGGAGACAGAATGGATACAAATGAATGGAGACAATAACTCAGAAGAAAAAAAAAAAAAAAAAAAAAAAAGAATCAAAAGGGAGAATCCAAAGATTCCCAGCTCATATGCAAGCTAAACTGTGCTGCTGTTTGCCCATGATATAAATACTGAGTCTGCTAGACTTACATTTCTCTTAGAAAAGTAAATAAGAATATTATTCCTCATCAGCCAATGAAAGAATCTTCCCTTCCGTTATTTATATCACAATTATCCTCTTCTGTAGAGCTTTGGAGATATCCTAGATTTTCTTTTGGCAGATTTACATCAATATCAACTTCAGCATTAGTAAGAAATTCCACAAAGCCCAACTCGATTGCTAATTTGTTAAACAGGAGGAGAAACAAAAGAAAAAAGAAAAAAAAAAGGCTTATATTGGGGATATGTATTGGCATACATAGACCTACATTTGGAGGTGTTTTGATGGAATCCTTCTCAACAAATAACCATTATATATTACATCCCCTCATCTGCCTCTTTTCCAAACAGATCTACAATGGTACTTTCTGCTCTCCTTATGACTAAATTGCAGAGCCCTACAAACATCTCCTGCCCCTTCTCCTACTGCTTTTTCTCTCATATTTAGTTTTATTTGCTTTTTAAAACCTTCACGCTTTCACTTTTCTAACCACTCCTCAGAATTATGTCCATATTAAGCTTCTTTGCATAAAAGATTTGCACTACTACTCCTTTTCTATTGATATGGTAAGAGAAAGTTGTGCCAGGGGAGGTTCAGGTTGAATATTAGAAAGTCTCTTCTTGGAAAGAATGTGAGGCATTGGAACGGGATGCCCGGGGAGGTGGTGGAGTCACTGTCCATTAGAGTTCAAGAACTGTGTAGACATGGCACTGAGGGACACGGTTAATAGGTATGGTAGGGATGGGTGATGATTGGACTGGATAATTTTAGAGATCTTCTTTCCAACCTTATTTATTCTATGATTCTTTCCTAAAAGATTGGGTGTATTTCAGAATTCAGTTAATATAGATAGATTATCTTGTATTGTTCTTACAATATGCAGTCAATACCTGCTGTAGCTGCAAGAGGTTTGAAAAGAACCAGTTCTGCAGGAGATATTCTTCCCTAACAGTAGTCAAATCAATCACACAAACACATAGCTTAAAAACTGTCATCACTATTTATACTATGGGCATCTAGAGACTGTGTACCAGTTTTAAATAACTGAAGAGTATTCTGCCTCGGAACCACCAGTTCCTACCCTGCCAAAGCAATGGTAATTTAAATCTCTCTAATGTAAACTGTTAGAAAAACAGGGAGCACGTGAGAAAAATGATCATGAAATTATGTTCGTAATGAAACATCACACAGAATCCAAATCCAGTTTATGCAGATCTTTACCAAAGGCAAAAAATGCAACCTGAACAGATTGTAAATAACCCTGGCACCAGTCTTATCTGCAGAAAGACCACAGAACTAGGATACATAAATCCCTGTTAGTCATAGCAGTGCATAACAACATACATCAAAGGACTGATGCGTTTCAATAACAGCAGAGGTAAATTTACAAAAGAAATGGTTGCGGTAACATATTGTGAATTGGGACTAAAGAAAAAAACAACATACAACCACCCATGAGACTACATTCAGCTTCTCCAGCTTTATTGAAAACAACCTGATTTGCAGCAACAAA